ATCCACTGAAAGAGAAATTAGGAAAACTAACCCACTCACAATAGCCTCAAAAAACAAAAAAAACCTGGGAATTAATCTAACAAAAGAGGTGAAAGACCTCTACAATGAAAACTACAGAATACTAAAGAAAGAAATTGAAGAAGACCTCAGAAGATGGAAAGATCACCCATGCCCCTGAATAGGCAGGACTAATATTGTCAAAAGGGCCATACTACCAAAAGTGTTATACAGATTTAATGCAATTGCTATTAAAATCCCAATGAGATTCTTTATAAAAATAAAAGAAGCAATCACGAAATTTATTTGAAAAAATAAGAGACCCAGAAAAGCCAAAGCAATCTTTAGCAAGAAAAGTGAAGCAGGAGGCATCATAATACCAGACCTTAAACTATACTACAAAGCTATAGTAACAAAAACATGGTTAAATGTGGTTATGTCATACTAGACAAAGGTGAAAAAAACATTCACTGGAGAAAAGATAACCTATTCAACAAATGGTGCTGGCAAAACTGGAAATCCATATGTAGCAAAATGAAATTAAACCTCTATCTCTCACCCTGCACAAAAATCAACTCAAAGTAGATCAAAGACTTAGGCACTAGAACAGAGACCCTGTGCCTAATAGAAGAAAAAACGGGCCCAAATCTTCACCATGTCAGCATAGGATCTGACTTCCTTAACAAGACTCCTAAAGCAAAGAAATAAAATCAAGAATTAATAAATGGGATGGATTCAAATTGAAAAGCTTTTTCTCAGCAAAGGAAACAATAAAGTGAGGAGGGAGCCTACAGATGATTGGAAGAAAATCTTCACCACATGCACTTCTGATAAAGTACTAATCTCTAGGATATATAAAGAACTCAAAAATTTAACTCCAAAAGAGACAAATAACCCAATCAATAAATGGGCTAAGGAACTGAACAGAGACACTTCATGAAAGAAGAAATACAATTGATGAACAAATATATGAAAAACTGTTCAACATCTCTAAAAATTAGAGAAATGCAAATTAAAACTACTCTCAGATTTCATCTCACTCCTGTCAGAATGGCAATCATCAAGAGTACAGGCAACAACAAATGTTGGTGAGGATGTGGTGAAAAAGGTACACTCATACATTGCTGGTGGGACTGCAAATTGGTGTAACCACTATGGAAAGCAGTATGGAGATTCCTCAGAAAACTAGGAATGGAACCACCATTTGACCTGGCTATCCCACTCCTTGGTTTGTACCCAAAGGACTTAAAATTAGCATACTGTAGTGACGCAGCAACATCAAAGTTTACAGCAGCTCAATTCACAATAGCTTGACTATGGAACCAACCTAGGTGTCCCTCAATAGATGAATGGATAAAAAAAGATGTGGTATATATACTCACTGGAATATTACTCAGTTTTAAAGAAGAGTAAAATTAGGACATTTGCCAATAGATGGTTGGAGTTGGAGAATATCATGCCAAGTGAAATAAGCCAGTCTCACAAAACCAAAGGCCAAATGTTTTCTCTAATATGCTGATGCTAATTCACAATAAGGTGGGAGGGCACTAGCGAAGAATAGCGTTACCTTAGATTAGGTGGAGGGAAGTAATGGGAGTGAAGGGGAGGGAATATGGGGATAGAAAAGATAGTAGAATGAAACAGACATTATTACTGTATGTATGTATGTGACTTCATGACCAATATGCTTCTGCAATATATACACTCAGAATAATGAGAAATTATATCCCATCTATGTATGATATATCAAAGTGCATAAATGCATTCTACTATCATGGATAACTAATTAAAGCAGATAAAAAATATTTTTTTAAAAAGCATGCATGAACTATCACATAAAAATGCTATAAGAAAAGTTGAAAAATCAAAGCATCCAAAAGAAAATTTGCATAGTTTCTTCAAAGGAGCAGCAAGGATGGGAGGTGACTTCTTAACAGAAATAATGGAAGCCAGAAGACAATGACTTCAAAATGCTGAAAGAAAGTAACTTCCAGAACAGAGCTCTTTTATCTAGGGGAATTTCCCTTCAAAGGAAGACAGAATAAAAATCCAAACTAAAACATTTTTTTTTTTTTGTGGAAATACATATAAATTTATTTTCTGGACAAATGATCGCATACTATATATGCTATTGTACACTGTATATTTTTTATTTAACTTTTATTCTCTTCATAGTTTTTAAAACTGCTATATAGTATTCCATTGTACCATCATTTACTGAATATCTATTATGAATACTAAGGTTGTTTCTAACTTATTATTACAAACAATGCCATCACAAAAATTTTATATGCATGTCATTCAGCACACATATGAGAGCAGCTTTAAGAAAACCCAAGAGGCAGAACTGCTAAGTTTCCCTCCACAGGGATTTTCAATTATCTATTCATACCAAGCAATGCATAACAATGCCCATTTCCCTCATTCTTGCTAAAATTAAAAAGCACCACATACATACACAAAAATGAGAAAATACTTCATCTTTACTAATCTGAAGGGTGGAAAGACATGTGATATTATGTACCTTTTTCACATATTTAAGAGACATTTATGTTTCCTGAGTATGATGTCTCTTGGGAACATAGGTGTCTCTAATTTTCCCAGATTTGTTAGTCTTTTTTTGTGTGTGTGGCATTGGGAATTGGGAATCAGAAGCCTCATACATAGTAGGCAAGTGCTCTACCACTGAGCTTCACCTTAATGAAATGACAGATAATATATATATATGTGAAATTAGCTCTTTGTGATGAATTGAAAATATTTCTTCCCCCAGTTTGCCTTGTCTTTCAACTTTCTTTATGGTAGGTTTCACTTTTTTATCTTTGGTACCAGAGAGAACCCAGGGGCACTTAACAACTGAGCTACATTTCCAGCCCCTTTTTTTGAGAAAGGGTCTCATTACACTGTTCGAGGCTGACCTCAAACTTGTGATCCTCCTAACTCAGCCTTCAAAGTCACTGGGATTACAGGCATGTTCCACCATATCCAGCTTTATGATAGTTTTATTATAAAGAACTTATGCTTTTTATGTAGCCGATTTCTATGTAAGTATAGTGAAATATACTGTCCATTTTAATTTTAATAACTCTTAAAATTAACTCTTAAAATTCATGACATCTGCACAGCTTTAGTACTCCCTGAGAAGTTAAACATGCTCATATCCCACAAAAATGATAGGGAAAAAAATGTTACATTCTAATATGACTGGCACAAAATATTAATTTCTAATAAAAATGCATATGTGGTAGGAAGAACAGAAAGATTAACAGAAAAATTAAAATTTATCTTAAAGCCAACTCTAGTCAAGAAGACTTCTTCAAAGGCAAATAAGTGGTTAAATATATAAATACTGCAACATGGGTTATTTATTTTTTTAGTTGTAGATGGACACAATATCTCTATTTTATTTATTTATTTTTATGTGTTGCTGAGGATCGAACCCAGTGCCTCACATGTGCCAGGCAAGTGCTCTGCCACAGAGCTATAGCACCAGCTCACGGGCTATTTTTTATTGATTTCCTTTTTGGTCAGGGAACATTTCAAGAAAGTTTAGATAACTTTTAATTCAAGGAGTTCCAACAATGTCTACTTTAAAACATCAAGTGAATTGTTCTTAGAAAAATTCTGATTTGATAAGACAGATTTTAATCTGTTTTAGACAAATTTGGTTAGTTTCTGACTATACCTCATCTTACCACAATCATTACTCAGAGGGCATTTTTTTTTTTTTTTTGAAAAAGAAAAAACTAAAATTAGCAGCAGAATTAAGATCATTAGTCTCTAAAACTTCACAAATGAATTCAGTGCTTCTGATTTAACTTTCAGGGGCAAGAGAGCAAAATCTATATACATTCTATTACTACCCACAAGCACAAAGAAAAATATCAATACAAAATGATAGTATAAAGAAATAAACTCATGGTTGTTTCAAATTTCAAAACATGAGACATTGTCATATGACTCTCCTATAGCAAATTCCTTTTTTTTCTGGAACAGCACTTAACAGAAGTATGAATTTCCAAAAATTAAGAAAACAAATTTGTTTTGGTACTGCGGATTGAACCCAGAGGCGCTTAACCACTAAGCCACATCCCCAGCCCTTTTTTGTATTTTATTTAGAGACAGGGTCTCGACAAGTCACTGAGGCTGGCTTTGGCTTTGAATTTGCGATCTTCCTGCATCAGCCTCCTGAGCCCCTGGAATTACAGGCTTGCTCCAATGCACCTGGCCACTAATTTTGATTTTGACAGTGGACACTATGGTGTGAAAAGATGTAAACCCAAAATGTTTTCAGTTGTCATTTACAGCAAAGAAATGACAAGAGAGAATGTTCTGGCAAATAACACCAGCTACTCCATTCTGGACCCAGTTTCTGATCATCCATTCAGTTCTAATGCTCCTAAACTGCCAATCCATCCCACTGGTCTAATCCCAACTCTTTCTTTATGCATAAAGAATCTAGTTTCCTTTCTGTCAACTGAATTTTAATTTACTAGAAAACTCTCGATTTAACTTTGATTCTAATCCATTTTAAGATGAAGAAAATGCTATAATGCTCAAAATTTAATTAAATTGGAGATGGAAATTAACTACTCAATTGGTATGGTAGATATATTTCAAGTGCTCTATAAATATAAGGGAAAGTAACAAGAAAATCTAGACCCTATATTCTACATAGATTCCTTAACTACCTGATATACTATAATCTTTGTTTTGATTATTCATGACAAAAAACGAGCAAAGGCCATAAAACTTTTTCCTTTTTTTTAAAAGAATGGCACTTCAAGACTTCTTGGCTTGGCGAACACATCTGTATATACAAAAGGACTGTTAAACTTAGTACATGTTAGTTATTAACAATGAATAGGGACCCTTTCTTATCACTGAGTTTTATAGAAAACACATTTGTATATGCTTCCTTTTAATCACTTTAAAGATAATAAGTATGCTTAGACAGCAGAGATTAATGTGAAATTTATAAAGATTCTATGACAGAAGAGAGCTTCACAATCCAGCTTTACTAGAAGACATTCCTTTTACCCACATTATTTGGTGTTATCTCTGAAACATCTGAAAAATACTTTTCTGTGAATTACTAGGCTGTAGAGAATGAGTACTTTTAGATACATTACAATTTTCTTTAGTAGAATTTGATATCTTTTTTCCGTTAGCCGAACTGTTCAACTGGATTTTAAAAGAAGGCTGCCAGTTTTCATCTCTTGAGCCTCTTCGAGGTTTTGGATGCTCTACATCAGTCTGATTTTTGAAGTTTCTGTCTTTGTAATTCTTCTGCCCATTTAGTAAGTTATGTGGAGGTGAGGATGTAGTACGTAACTGGTACCCATCTGGGGATCCTTTTTGCCGATTTGGCTTCATTAGTTCTTTATCCACCTCTTTCTGCAGTTGTAACGCTAATAGCCGGTCTTGTTCTTCTTGTTTGTGTCTCTCAAAAAGTAAATGCTCCAAATCTATCAGTTTTTGGGTAAAATTCATTTCTGTTTCCTCTTGATCTGAAGAAGATTCCGAGAATGTTTTCTTCCTTTTTAAAGAAAAGCATGAATCTATGACTGCTTCAACTGAAGATTCCTGGCTTTTTCTTTTCGAAACACCTTTACTGTCTGGTTGGCTAGACTCTGTCTCAACTGGGTTGTCTCCAATTATTTGTATCATATTTGATGAAGTACGCCCATTCTCTGTCTTGCCACAAGGCTTAACTGTAGCTTCTTTAGAGTAGGGAACTTTGGTTTTAGGTCCTTCATACTTTATGACATATAACTCTTGATCATGATTGTTTGATCTTTTGGCTTTTCCTTCAAGGCACTGTTCTGCATCATAGACACATAACCATGGCATAGGTGACTCTACTGAAGACTTTGTACCTTGTTCTTGAATTTCAAGGCACATTTGAGGAGAAAGTGTTGGCATATCTTCTTCAATTTCTGTATCTTGCCCTGTAGGGCTCTTCATATCACTTCTGTCAATTTCCTTAGATGTGGAGTTTCTCCTGACTTCTTGTACAACTTCAGACTGTGTTGCTGATCCAAATAGAGATTTAGGTGACAAATACTTCTGAATATTTCCAATGTTTTTTTGTTTGTCCTTATTTTTCTTTTGTGACTTGGTTGTGACTGGATCAGATTTTCTGGAATTCAAAGGAGAAGCCAAGGTACTCCCCTCCCAGAAATTATTAATGTTAATGCTTAGCTTTCTTGCCAGTTCTTCATCATTTTTTAGTTGTTCTTCCACTTCACTTCGCCTTTTCTCTGCCTGCTTTTTTTCCTCTTCTTCCTCCTCTGCCAATAATCTCTGTATATATTCTTCACTGGCTTTGTTTTCTTCTTCCTCACTGGCTCGTCGCTCTGCCTCCACCTTGCTTATCTCTTCTTCATATTCTCTTCTTAATTCCCCAGGTTCACTTAACAGACGAATGGGCTGGTAGTCATCAACAATTTCCTCCGATCCTTGCCCAGAGATTCTAAGCTTGCACTCCTTTGGATAGTGTTTTTGAATCGTTTCCCATAGTTCCATATTGATAAGAGAATTTCTACGGGTATGATACCGAGTCCACGAAGAGACCCGGCGGCGACAGAAGGGACAGCACAAATTTGCCTTTTCGACAGTCGACTGGAAGCACGGATTACAGAGCGTGTGGTTACATGGGAGGGTTACGGGCTCGATTAAGATTTCCACACAGATCTGGCACTGGCATTCCGACAAGGAAGGGATGGCGTCCTTGGGTAGAGCCATTTTAATATGCTAATGAGGCCTACTCAACATCAACACCAGGTCAGGAGGCTCCCGGTGGCTCCGGGGCTGACTCCGGGCCACGGCTGAGAGAACGCCGCTTCCGCCCGGACACCGGGCTCCGATCGCAGGACTTCCGTTTTACCGTTGCTGCGGGTGCTGCCCGCGAGCCACCGCCATCCAGCTTTAGGCGGCCCAGCGCAGTGTCCTATTCCTAAAACATTTTTTACTAGTAAATTGCCTAAATATCAATTGAACATATTTTCATATATATGTATACATATATATGTATGTATACTTATTAGTATATGTATTCTAATCAATTGTATATACTTATTGATAAAAATGTATATATATACATATATGTATATATAATACATACATTATCCAAAATCAGTATAACTCAAAATCAAAATAATTGGAAAATTCTCCCTGTTTGGGAATTAAGCAATACAATTCAATATAAACCACAGGTAAATGCAAAATCACAGTGAAAACAAAGTATTTTGAAGTTAATAAGAAATGAAAATATATCAATACTTGCAAGATTTAGCTAATACCTAAGTTAGAAGGAAATAACACAGATTTAAAGGAATATTTTGGAAAAGAAGAAAGGCTAAGAATAACTTAAGTATTCACCTCAGAGTTTTATTTGGTTTTATTTTCAAAATGTAGGTTTGTTTAGAAACAAACAAAAAAAACTAACAAGTTTTTAATAAAATAAATGTCCATTTATTCTCTTTTAAAATTCTTAAAAAGTTTAGAATTAAATTACCTTAACCCAAATAAAATGTATAACATGTATTCAAATACTTAAAGAACAATCATTATTTTTAAGAGTAAAATATTGATTTAATATTGAGAAATGATTAGCTTCCTGCTATCAAAAATCCTATTCAAACTGGGTGCAGTGGTGCAAGTCTGTAATCCCAGCAACTAGGAAGGCTGAAGCAGGAGAATTCCAAGTTTGAAGCCAGCCTCAGCAACTCAATATGGCCCTTTCTCAAAATAAAAATTAAAAAGGGTTGAGAATGTAGCTCAGTGGTAAAGTGTCCCTGGGTTCAATCCCCAGTCCAGAAAAGAAAATTACTCATGATTGTTGTGAATTTCCTAGTCATTGCTGATTGAAGGGAAAAAAAGTATAAGCACTGCAAGCAAAGATGTAAAATTTATTTTATCCAGAGAATACATTTTGTGAATAAGTTCTAAAAATTCTGTAGACAAACTAGCAAATTTATGAGTGAGTTTGGGAAAACTGCTCTATATAAGGTCAATAAAAATAATTAATTTACTTATGTGTACCAGCACTAAACAATTAGAAGACACATATTTTAAAACAACTATATTTACAACTGCATAAAGAACGTATTTCCAAAATTATACCAATAAACACACACACACACACACATTCACATATACACCTATAATAGAAGTTAAAGAAGACCTAGTTAAATGGCAGTCCATACCATATTCATGGATAGGAATCTCATTTTCTAAAGACATCAATTCTGCCCAGATTTATAGATTTAATGCACTGCAATTTCAGCAGGGTGTGTGTGTGTGTGTGTGTGTGTGTGAAAATTTAAAATTTATGTAAATAAATAGGAAATAAATATTTAGAAAGTTGAATGATATACACTACCGGATATGAAGGCCTATAATTAATTAATTAAGACAATGTGATACGATGTAAAGATCAACACTGGAAGAGAGGAAAAAAACCCAGACACAGACCCAAACATACATGGACACTTTATGACTTCTGACAGAGGATTTATATCCAGAACGTATAAAGAACTTGAAATAACACCAAAAACCCAAATAACTCAATAAATGGGCAAATGAACTAGATAGATATTTCTTAAAGGAAGAAATACAAATGGCCAACAAATATATGAAAAAAATGTTCAACCTCATTAGCAATTAGGGAAATGCAAATCAAAACTAGTCTGAGATTATCATCTCACACTAATCAGAATGGCAAGTATCAAGAACATGAACAATAGTAAATGCTGGTGAGGATGTGGGAAAAAATGTACACTCATACATTGCTGGTAGGACTGCAAATCAGTACAACCACTATGGAAAAGAGTGCGGAGATACTTCAAAAGACCACCACATGACCCAACTGTCTCACTCACCGGTATTTATCAGCATACTATAGTGATAGTCATTACAAAGTTTTGTTTGTTTTGTACCAGGGATTGAACCCAGGGGCACTTAACCTCTAAGCCACATCCCCAGGCTTTTTTTGTTCCTTTTTCATTTTGAGATATGATCTCTCTAAGTTGCTTAGGCCCTTGATAAGTCCCTGGGGCTGGCTTTGAACTTGAGATCCTCCGGCTTTAGCCTTCTGAGTTGCTGGGATCGCAGGCATACGCCACCATGCCTGGCCACTTCAAGGTTTATATCAGCACGATTCACGATAACCAAATTATGGAATCCACCCAGATGCCCATCTCATAAGGAGAGAGGAAAGATCAATGGAGTAGAAGGAGGAGAACAAGAGTGAGGGCAGAAAGGGAGGGAAAGGGGGGAATATGGAATGAATTAAACAAAACCTTGTTATGTCTATCCATAAATGTACCAGAAGAATGTCCCCTTTATGTGCATGCAGAGAATTGAAAATAAATAAAGACTGAAAGGAAGATCAATAGGGGTAGGGGGGAGGGGAGGAAAAGAGGGATTGGGGATTGAAATAAAATTCCTTCTGTGTATTATTTTGTCAAAATTAACCCAAGTACTATATATAAATATAATGCTCTAATAAAAAATATCAAAAAATATCAGAATAAAAAAGAAGATGAGGGCTGGGGATGTGGCTCAAGCTGTAGCGCGCTCGCCTGGCATGCGTGTGGCCTGGGTTCGATCCTCAGCACCACATAAAAACAAAGATGTTGTGTCCGCCGAAAACTAAAAAATAAATATTAAAAAAATTCTCTCTTTCTCTCTCACTCTCTCTTTAAAAAAAAAAAATGAGACAGCATTCCCCCCCCACTTTCTTTTTTTGAGAAATGTAGTTTTATGGAATATTTTTTTTTCCTAAAAGAATTTCATGGCAAAATAAACTAGGGCAACACAGCAACCTATAGTCCTAGAAAGTAAAAGCAAACCAGTATCATAGAGGCACAGAAATGACCTGCTGTTAATCAACCGGGAATTTCTCAAAGCTATTTGAGTACAGGACCGTTATGTCGTTGAATGCTAGTGACATCTACAGAACTCATGTTTTGCAGAACACGGTGCTGATTTTAAACTATGAGGTCCAATCCAGCATATAGGGAGCTTGAGAATGACCACTTAGCAGCCACAACAGCAACGCCAAACCAACCATGGATCAACACATCTTAAATGCATCAGAGAACTGCGGTTGCAGGCAAATACCGCTCCCCAAATTGGAAGAAGTCAGGTGGATAGAGGGACTCACATTTCTCTGGAGTGGAAACTTCTGGAGGCTCACTGTGGACACATTTGAGAGACGAGAACTCCCAGGGGAACCCGTCTTCAAGAAGGCCCTCTACTTTTGTGAGTTTTGGTTCAGGGAGCTCTACTAGGTTCTCACACTGAAGATGGGAGCAAAACCCCGTTGTGCTTCAAGGCCTGCTGTTTTCCAGAACCTACCCAACTCCAGCCCACCGTGACCTTCCTGTCTCACCTAATGGGAAAAAGTTGAGAGGCACTTGTGTAGCCCGGAGGCTGAGTGACAGGCTCAGAGTTCATCAGGGGGCCACAGAATGCTCTCTGTCCCCATGCACCTTGCCACCACACATTAGGCCTCCTGTACCAGGCTAGGAAAATAGAGTGATACCCTGTGGAGTGGTCCAACTGGAAAGGTTGCAATGAAGTGCCGCAGTCCGGCTGCAGCAAAATAACCGGGGGGTGACGAATAACTTGTGTATGTTGATACAGCAGGAGTGGGAGCCATTTATTGTAGGACAGGAGGGGTATATATACATTCCACACAGCTTATCTAATTAACATAAACTCCATACAGCAATCAACCAATAAGGAATCTCCACACTTAATGGCTCACTGGCGTTACTTCACAAACCACTCCCTCTGGCAAAATGCCAGGCGCCATCCAGACTTGTTTACAGACTCTAACATTTTCCAGGCGCCATCCTGACTTGTTTACAGACCTTAACAATGAAGGAGTGTCTGGAAGAAGGCAGTGGTAACACAGAGAAGCCGTCTGCTCCACCTACCATGCCTTCTTCTGCCCTCCCCTCCTAGGCTAGCTTCCTGCATCCACCATACCTTCCCACCCACCCGAATCCAATCCCTCCCCTAAGTTGCTCCTCTTGTGTGAAGTGTCCCAAGGACTCCAGCCCACAATGCTCCCTGCTGTGCCGTGGTCTTTACCACACACTCTGACACTTACATCCTCAGGTTTCAGCCCTAGTTGGTTGTTTTTGTTTGTTTGATTGTCTTATTTTTTCACACCACCCCCTTAGAACACCCTTCTTTTTGAGAACAGAGGTTTGAATTATTCCATTGCCCTCACCATGTAGCATCTTTCTTTGTATTCACTTGTTGAATCAATAGAGCCCCCACTGCCAGCAAGTCTTGGGCAAGGGTTGCATGAGAGATGCAAAAATAAATCAAATTTAGAGTGTAGGAAAAAATATATCCAATATCACTAACCTTTAGAGGAATGCAAATCAGCCACCATGAAATATCAATGCACTTATCTGGACTGGCGATAATAAATTTATAATAAAATGGAAAAATAATTGCTGGCTAGGAGAATAATGTGGAGAAAAGGGAACACTTTCACGCTGTTGGTGGGAATGTATGTTGGGGAATATCTTTTGGAGGTGCTTCAAAAATTAGAAATAGAACTACTAAATGATCCAGCTGTCTCAATAGTGGGTACCCATGCAAAGGAAACGAAGTCGTGTTGAAAAGACATTGAAATCCCTATTACAGCACTGTTCACAGTAGCCAAGATGTGAAATCAACCCAACAGTGGGTGAATTAATAAAGAAAGTACGGTATATACATATCAGGGAATTCCTGCCATTTGGAACAACATGGATGAACCTGAAGGATATTATGCTAAGCGAAATAATCCAGGCACGGAGAGACAAATACTGCGTGATCTCACTTATATACGGAGTTCAAAAAAGTTGAACTAATAGAAGCACAGAGTGGAAGTGGTTACCAGAAGATAGGGGCTTGGGATGGGAAGATGGTCACTGAATGAT